GGAAATGAGGTCCGTACTGCATTTATTACGAAGTTTGTAAGTAAAATTTGTTTGTTCTCATTTCTCTAAGTTCTTTTGATATCCGAGTGGTACGTAGACTCGTTGAATGTTTTCTGTAGTTTCGTGATGTTTTAAGCATCGGACACTTCGGCTACGACTTTCCCGCTAATGAATTCAGTACTGAAAGTATCGCTCACAAAAAAGTTATTGACATTTCAAATATTATATTAGTTAAGTCATGTTCGTTCAATCGAAGAGTTCCTAGCAATTTGAGGAGATTCCACGGATGGATCCTAACAAGTGAAAGAAATTTCACAAACGGTAACTAGTTTTCTATGAATTTTATTAGAAATCACACTATGTATTATATTTACTCATAAATTTGTTAGAAAAATACCAACACTTAAGTTGAACAATAAAACAAATTAACAAGATTACATTTGTTTATCTTTATAAATCAAGAAATCACCAATTGCAAATGATTGTTTTGCAGTCTAACCGTACTTTGCTATCTGATCTGTACCTAGTTTCAAGACTAGGTTTAATTAGCAGAACTGCTTTCGAAACAAGAACAACGCAGTACTGGAACGCGATCTTCTCTACTACGTCTTAGGGTAAGACTTCACGAAGCGGTTTACTTTCGCTCCCGCCGCGGTTGTGGAATGGACGTTTATTTTCAAAACTCATGAAACAGCAGTTTTGTGCGGTGACGCAGCCGCCACGGTTGCGATTATTGCCCGCAACCTTGGCGGTTGATTATGGCAAGACGGGCGGTTCGGTTGGAAGACTGGCGTCCACGGCCGCGGTTCTCGTGATCCGCGCCGGTATAAGATAATCACCAGTGCAGCGGCATCCGCAAATAATCGCAGACGCGATTAATCCGCAAATATTCGCAGGGCGTAAAATACGTCGTGAAATTTTTTTTATATTAATTTAATATATGCATCATGCTGTACTCCGAACAGCGTTACCCTAGGTGTAACTAGTACGTACTATAACGGGCTGGTGCTGAAAATCAGCGCCGTGGGCTCGAGCCTCTGTGCCCGGTCCACGGTATTAAGCTGAGCTCCAGCCTTTTGCGCTGCGACGCACCATAGGTTTTTTTTGTGTTTCTAATTTCTTGTTGTGTGTCGTAGCAAAATAAATGGTTTTTCTTTCTTTCTTTCTTTCTAAATGTGCTTTTTTGTGGCATAATCCGGTAAACGAGCAGACGGATCACCTGATGGTAAGCATTCGGTGTCGCCCATGGACACCTAGAACACCAGAGCGTTACAAGTGCGTTGCCGGCCTTTTGGGAATTAGGAGTTTGAGGATCGTTGGGGATTCAGGAATTGGGGAGATTGGGGAAGGGAAGAGTAATTGGGCCTCCAATAACCTCACTCACACGATGAAACACAACGTAAGCGTTGCTTCACGTCCTTTTTCTGTGAGGCCGTGGTATCACTCCGGTTGAGCCGGCCCATTCGTGCCGAAGCATGGGTCTCCCACACTTTAGTTTTTTTACATAAATATCTGTCTTCTACAAAGTCTGCGGGCCCGCAACCGGGGCAGGCGCGGTTGTAAATCGCTTCGTGATTCGTTCCTCTTAGTTTCTTAGCACCTATTAAACGATTGAAGGAACTAGAGAAATTAGTTGTAAACTACTTCTAAGGCATCTTGCACTTGCTTTAACATTAATAGCCAACTGGAATCAAAGTGTAAAGAGATCTTATACTTCAATTCAAAAGATTCTTATTTGTAAGTTCTGTGTTCGATTTATGTTTGCTGTGATTTTATCTATCTTCTATACATATAATAAAATTGTAGAAAAGTGCTGTCTGTACATTGAAAATAAAAATAAAAAAAATAGCAGGGGCTATTGTTATGTCGATTTCGAACCCAAAAATGTAACTAACTTTTTTTTTGTCTGTTTGTCTGTTTGTCTGTTCACGCTAATCTCAGAAATGGCTTATAAATATATATATATTTAACAGGGTGCGGAAAAGGTGATAGTGGTTTTATTCCTCAGATTCCTCTCATTCCAAAAAATTTTCCGTTTAATTTTAAACGAATTCAGTTTCCAGTGAGCCTATGTTTCGCCATGACAATTAATAAAGCTCAAGGTCAGACTCTAAAAGTTGCTCCCTGATCCATGCTGAAAAAAATAGCAGGGGCTATTGTTATGTCGATGTCGAACCCAAAAATGTAACTAACTTTTTTTTTGTCTGTTTGTCTGTTTGTCTGTTCACGCTAATCTCAGAAATGGCTTATAAATATATATATATTTAACAGGGTGCGGAAAAGGTGATAGTGGTTTTATTCCTCAGATTCCTCTCATTCCAAAAAATTTTCCGTTTAATTTTAAACGAATTCAGTTTCCAGTGAGCCTATGTTTCGCCATGACAATTAATAAAGCTCAAGGTCAGACTCTAAAAGTTGTGGGTATAGATCTAAGTATCAGCTGTTTTTCGCACGGTCAATTGTACCTCTATGTGGCTCTGTCCCGTGTTAGCAATCCCAGCAGCCTGTATGCTTTCACCCCCGATGGCCATACGTCTAATATTGTATATAGAGAAGCATTACAGTAAAGTAGGTTTTTTAGCTACCCAAAATGACTGTGATTATGATCCAAATCTAAAATAAAAATAAGTATATATTTAAAAAAAAAACGCTGCTCATAGTCACTATTCTACGCGAACGAAGTCGCGGGCACAGCTAGTTTTTAAATAAGTATGATCCCTTATTGGGAAAGGGTTGGTATGATTTTACAAAAAATATTTTCAGTATCAGGTGAGGTGTGTCAGTAGAACACATTTTGTAATTCCGTGCGTAATATTTAAAAACTTTTTTATGGAATAATCCGATATAATGAGCAGACGGATTACCTGATGGAAAGTAATCAGCGCTGCCGAAACACCAGACATGTGCGATACTGGCCTTTTGAGGATTAGGAATTTGAGGATTGGAATTGGGGAGGGCCTCCAGTAACCTCTGATCACACGATTAAAAAAGATGTGAAATAATTGTGTACTTTGTCTGTGTGCCATCAGGTGGTAATCTAGTAAATATCTAGCATACCTAATAATAGCATGAATTTTACATGTCTAGTTGTTTTTTAATCTTCGGAAGTCATTTATACTTCATCGCTTGGACGTTGTCCTCTAATAAATTTTGGTTATACTCCGTCCACAATGATAAAGTTACTGTATACAGACTGACTAAACACAGATACAAAATTATGTATATGTGTGTGTCTACATACACAATCATACGCGTTTAAGGATTCTGTGGCTCTAATCTAACTATGTATTGCTTGAGCGGAGGTATGTGGACAAAGGCTATGTAGATGATATGCCTTAGTCTCAAATCAACCAAATACCAAGCCGGTATGCGAGTATTAGTTAGACAGGGGTGGTAGTACTATAATATAATTAAAGTAATAAGTATAGACCTGAATTAAAATGATGAATTAGTATAAGAAAACAACCTTAGAACCTCATATTAATTAGACATACGACAAACAATGCGACAGTCATTCAAAGAAAATAATAAGATTAGGTACTACAATTTCTCTTTGTGGGGAGTTTGTAGAATTAAGATCTTCGCACATCTAACATGCATGGCTACGGCGCGTCTTCGACACGGGGTTGTTTCGAATTTGCCAACCGCTAGCCGCCAGCTCGCTGGAAGCCTGCGGGCGCCTCAATTACAACTCGAGAGGAGCACGCGCTGACCATCCGCCGTTGGCTTTTTGTATTTACGTTATGAAATATATCATACGATAAACGACTTAAAGTTCATATTAAAATGACAATTGCTGCTTATTGTACTTGCAAACGTGTAAAGAGAAATGAGAGTTCATAACGTAATAAGCAGAAAAATGTATTGTATAATGTAGGGGGAACAAAGTGTAGTTTATCCATGGTAACCCATGCCCAGAGGGCATTGCCCATGGCGATTTTACTGAATATTTCGTTAACATCACCGAATAAAGTCACCTGACAATAGCAAGGATTGCTATTGTATAGAATAACCGGATGGTTATTCTTCACATCCTATTGTTGCAGCTCTCGCAAAATAAAAACAATGGACGAAAACGCAAATTGCATTCAATTAATTGAATGTCTGTTATTGAAATTTGAATGGCAGGTGTAATTTCTGTGGTTACTGCATACAAGCCCTGCGGCCACTGTTACATACCTACATATAGATAGCTATTATTTGTTTCATTTCGGAGAGTGTGTGCAGTAATGTAGACTTTATTTGCTTTACTGTCCAAAAACGATTACCTATAACATAAAATAAAATATTGGAAAATATTCAACTAAACTTAATAGGTACTTTGTAGATCTTCGCAAAGTCTTTAATCTTGTATTTTGCGTGACATCTCAAAGAGGCCGAACTGATTTCTCTGAAGAACAAAACTGTCTTGGTTCTTGATGTGGTCTTTGAGGATAACTCTGACAGTCGATAAGGGTAACGGACAGTGAATGTCGTATATCTACAAAACAAAGCCGAATAACAGACAGTGCACATCGTACGGACATGTGACATCAGTAGTTACGGTAACAGTGACGTCCAGCGGAATTTAATTAAAACACTTCAAAAGGCAAGCGAACAGGAAGGCAGGCTATTGTATAGAATAACTGTGAACTACAATTCGTTTGTGACGGAGATAGGGCGCGAGGTGTCGCGTAGTCAAAGCGTGTTTAAATGACCGTGCGTCGAGCGAAGCACCGAATTCCTGACAATAGATTTGAATGAGAATGACGTTGCGCTACAGCGTGATATCAATAGTCCTGCAGAAAAAAACATTCATTTGAATGCAGTAATAAAGAACATGAATAGACAAACAAATGAAGTGTGTATTTAATAAATATACATACAAACAAGGATTCTGTAAAAGATATCTTGCACATTTTTGGTCTATTTTAGGGCTCTTAGTAAAAACTAAACTAACTTGGACGCAAGATTAGCGGAAATAGTCTTACACTGTTTCTATAGCCTATATTCTGTTGCAGGAGGTCGTGCTGAATGAAGACACAATACAGATGGACAGGTTCGAAGAGATACCCTTCTCATTGAACTTCACTGTGATGATCTTTAACATCACCAACCCTGAAACTGTGTTGAACGGCGGCGTGCCATTCGTCACTGAAGTTGGACCATATATCTATCGGTATGTGCCTTAAATATTTGATTAACTAAAAACTTCATTTATGCATATGCCGTGTAGTGACGGCAAGATTATATGCCATTTAATTGAGACCGGGTAGCAGCGCTCTGTGACAAGTCCTGAACCTTTTAAAGTGCAATCTCTAACCAGACTACGTTGAGCCGAGCGTTGAGTTAATCACAAACCGTTGCATTGAGGGAGTTGCCTTTAGTTCAGAACTGTCATAGGCTCTACAGCCTATGAAACACATCTACATGTTTTGTGGTCATATATGTTTTAATACGCAGTGGTTAGATTGGCTATACCCCAACATTGGCTATACCGCATGTTTGCTAATCTACAAGTTCAAAGCCATCATAATTGATTCATATTGTCGATGCAGGTTTAACTTGCCAGCGCATATTGGCAATCTCGCCCTCAACGACAAGCGGCTTGTTGCATAATTTATTTCGTCAAAGCCGACGTTAGATATACATAAAAGGTTACACAAAAATGTATGCTATCTTATTTATTAGAAGCTTACTTATAAACAGGCTTTTAAAGTATGGTACTAGATAGTAATCTAGCATCTAAGGTCAGATTACCATGATGTGCTATTTCTGATATCCTACATTGATTTTATATTTAAAATACTAAGCCACATAAAACACTGGTTGCCTTTTGCTCTCAAACGGAACGTGACATTTATGAAACTGTAGTTTTCCTCGCAAACATCATCTTTTTATTTACTCGTTTTAAATTTCTTATAAAATGCAGTAAGGAACACAAAACACTTCTTATTTAAAAGGCGTTCATCTGTAAATAGTAGTTTGAGGTAAGAGTTGTTTTATGAACGGAAGTCTTGCTTTGTCAAATCCTTTTTCTCGTTGCCTCAGATTGAGTTTCAAGGAATTATATCATGCCTGCAAGGCGGCACAAGATCAGGTTCCACCATTATTTTATCATTCCGAGCGAGAGAGCAACAGAGTGCGTTATTTTTAAATAAAATGTAAAAGAGAAATGCAATGTGGAGGCGCGGCATGGGCGGGATGGAGGGTGGATAGGTAGACGCGGCCCCGCGCGCGCCTCCACGCTGACGTACTCACCTACCACCCTCCCCATCCTCCACAACTGAGAGATTAATAAATTATTTTTCTAAAAATCATGTAAAAAGCCGCTTTACTAAGGAGACAATATCTTCTTCGTCCTTCGTCGTCTTAATTGCTTCGTTAATCGGTTTAACATGAGCTTTCAAAGGTATTCCTTCGAACTGCGAACAGAACTGTAGCACATAGTTTTACTGTGTTGTTGGGCGTCTGTGTTCAGCCATGTCTTAAACTATCCGAGCGACGTGTGTAGGCAGCGAATGCTTGAATGAGCACCATGGCTAATGTACACGCTATGCACACAAACATTTGATGGAAACTTATTTTGCAGGTTGTACCAGACTCGGGAGATACTTGGAATTGACGGTGATATAATTAGGTACAAGAGACACGAGCACTTTGTCTTTGACCCCGTCCTCTCGCACCCGCGTACAGAAGAAGATATACTGACTATCATCAACGTGCCGTACCACGTAAGTTCTATATCATTCAATGATTTACTACTCATTTGTAAATAATCGTGTCAGCGTGTGGGTCTGTATGTACCTGTGGCCAAATCCGTTATGCTTCGAATATAATTATTTTCGCCGTCCACTGCCTGGTGTAACAATGGCCCCAATCAATTATGTAGTCGGAATTGTTATTACAATAACATACGAACAGGAGCAGGCTGTCAATTGTATGACCGTTGATTTGTGTAGGTTTATTTGGAACACTGAATCTCTCATTTTGCAATACAAACTTAAATTCGAAATGAATAAACAAATAACTAATGTAAAGGCACATCTCCATGTATATTGTCATGGTTATATGCATGTAGATATCTCCGTAAAGATTTCCTCCTCCACAATCCTGTGTGGATCAGACAGCAATCTGCACTGGGCCTAATGAGCCCTTTGTGCTGTTCACAGTAACATAATAATTGGTGAATAGGGTTGAATCATGCGCGCTTCTATTACATGCGGCCTGCATACGCTTGCGTCCAATTATGCTATGCGAGTGAACTATATGATATGTATGGATGTACACTATTGTACACCTGCGTCACTGAACGGGACCAAAATGAAATGCAAGTAGGACGCCTATGCGCTTTAAATGCTCTGCGATCGACACCACAGCGAATTTGTATTTGAAATTGTGAACTTCCTTTAAATATTTTTCTCATTGGATTATTCTAAGTCCTGTTATACTCGTAGGTATTCGCTGCCCAGGCAGAGTGTATTGAAATGCAATTTCAAAGCAAAATGAACAGATTTCTAAGAAAATAAAAAATGAAAAATATCAGTGTGCTTTTAAAGGGAAAATGTCGCTACATTATGATTGCAATGGAGTGGGCATTAAGCCGTCTGTCTGCTCTTTGATATTCCTTATGATATTCTTAGTGTACTTTTATAGATCCTAGGAATGAAATATGTTCCGTCCCTAAATAGATTGTAAAAGACAGACGGCTATGGTATACTTTTTAAACGTGGTTCGCCAATCACTGGCCGCATCGATTACATTTCAAAATTATCTCTGTCTCGAATCCCGAACCTTCGTATTAGGAATCAGGGTATTTTAGTAACAGTAATAATGTATTTACCGATAGCAGTCTAGTTGAGTTTCAAAAATAACGTGCACATGTATTATTTTTGTTAGGAAAAATCTAAATGAATCGATTATTTTACTTTCTATTCACCCAAAATATAGTAAGCTTTCGTCATAATTTTGATTTCGGATATTTATTGAAAGTTTTTTTTTGTTTTTTTTTTTAAAACGTTGCCCCACACTAGGATTATTTCCTGTGTCGTGGTTGCGTTTACAAATATACAAGTTCACATACACATACACAAAGTCGTTTACATAAACAAAGAAATAGCATTAATATGCATTTTAAATTTATGGTTTCTACCACACATTAAACAATTGGGTGCTACACTAAATGACGTAATGTGCACCTCTGCCTACCCCTCTGGGGATAATAGGCGTGGTGTTATGCTATGTTATTAAAAACTTTATAATAAAAAATTACTAATTACTTTAACACATTACTTCTTTAAGATTTCAAAATTCGTTGGTTTTATAATAAATCTCTGTACTTCATCCTAACAAATCTCAATAACGCTATGTAAATATAAAAACAACATTTAACGTTGCTTTACGTAAGATTTTCGGCTCTCGTCTCGGCGTGGGCTAATTTTGGCTCCGAACAGCTGTCTTATCGTGGTGTAGAAATTCCCAAGCAACAAGTTGGGTGGTAAGGTTGACTGGAGCTTCATGTGTATGTACATCGGTATAGAACTTAGTACAAAGTTTGGAATTTTAGCAACTATTCACTTAGCAGATTTAACAGTCTAGGTACTTGTTAAGCCCTCTGCAATTATGAAGGTAAACTTTGCGAGAGTAGTTCTTTAATACTAGGTATATCAGGTATATGTAGTAGAGTTGTTGTAGTACCTACACTTGACGAATTGAGGAGCACAGGCTAACTGTCGAGCTTAAACTGTCAAACACCAAGCGGTCACCGGTGACCGCAACCTATTGTTCTATAATTGTGTCTACAAAACCGGTACTCGACGAGTTAAAATATAAAATAAACGAATGTGACAGATACTGTACAACAATTTTGTAATCCTTATCATGGTTGATCCATTTAAATGTAAAAGTGATATAACATGATATTACTCAAAAACACGTGGAAGATGCTCTTATTGAATAATGATCTTCGTAGAAAATGCAGTCTAATGATTAAGGAAGGCACATTTAAATGTTGCATAATTACGAAAATTAGTCCTTATCCATGAGGTATTTGTCGCGGAGAACCTAACGGGTAACCGGGGCTCCAGCTCAACGTGCAGGAGAAGGAACGGGGTGGTTTTTAGTCAGTAAGAGTCTGACACTCCCTCCCGCCTCACCCAGGCGGGAGCAGTCATTCGATGATTTCCCCACTTAAAAAAAAAATCCATGAGGTATTTCAGTTCAGAAATATCTTACAACTTACCTAATTATGTCGTGAAGATATAGTTTTTTTATATATTGAACCTAACTGTTCCTTTTGTACCTTCTGTTTTTAATGGTTTTTTTATTAACTGTACAACTATGCGAAAAATATCTACGTACGTAGGTGGCTATTATTTTTCATCGTCTGCTTCTGTGCGTTGAGGGACAAACTGTTCGTTTCATAAAATCTGTATAGAAGTTCAAAGTACTTGAAAACATTCTTGTTTGTAACTATCTACTAATCAATAGATAATTATTTGTCTAATACATGAATGGGTGGAATATATTGAAACAGTAGTTATCAGTAATAAACAAGATTATGGAGAGATTAAAATTGCGTTATATTGATAGTGTTATTTATCTACATTTTTTGCTATTTCTTAATAGTGTTTACACCTATCTATAAGTACCTATTATTATTGTGAACTAGATGTTTTGCCCGAGTATTTAATTTTATGTTTTATCCCATAGGAGCATTTCAATTAATATTAATTTATTAACTTTTTATTGTTTTATTAATAAATTAATAGTTTTAAAAAGTATCCTACTACCTAAGTGAGCTCACCCTGCTTGTATACCAAATTGCATCAAATGTCGTTTAGTAGTTTCAGCGTGATTGATAGACTTTGACACCTCTTATAATATTAGTGTAATTTTAAAGTTTTGCGTTCGTGTATTTATTGCAATCAAACACATACTCTGTACATCCAACCTATTTGGTTGGTTGTAGGGGCAAGTCCCTTAACGCCAGACGACACCTTACGCCGGACACGTGTATTATCTTGATAACTAATAACGCAAGTGATTCAATTTTTAGGGGGAAGTCTCCCCGTGGCAGACACCTAAGATTTTTAGTATAAATTGAATTGCTAGTTTTATCAGTTATCGAGATAATACAAGTGTCCGGCGTTAGGTGCCGGCCGGCGTAACGGGACTTTCCCTTACAGAGTGTGGATTTTTCAGGTCGAGTTAAATTCATTACAATTATGATTTCAAAGTTCCCAATGGCCAAGTCTAGAACTGAACTATAATTGGATACATCAAAAATAAAAAATAAATTAGGTTTCGTTTCCAATAGAATTATGTAGACGTACCTGACGTAAAAATATTTTTTAGCATAATATTATATTTTTTAGATCGTCCAGTTCATTCGTTAAAACGAAACGTGATATTAAATTTAAAAACTAAAGTAGACAGCTAAAATATATGACATATAAAAATCATGTGAAAACTGCACTAATAGAGGTCAGGCAGAATTTTTCAGTTTTAGTGCACATTTTCGTTCGGAAATGGTTTCAAAATGGCGAGGACCTGTCTAAGTGCTCGCTACCAGCGGCTGGCTGCCAAGCGTTGGGTATTTGACATGCACTGCAAACAGAATTTAAGTAAAATAAATTGACGAACTTATATTTAGAAAAGAGAAAAGCATAACGCGTATAATTACAGCTATATTGAAGTAAAATAAATTTCTATATTGAATTATAGTAAAAAAAAGTAAAATCATAAGTTCTCGCTTCAAAAATGCAACAAAACGAATTACAGATCGAAGTGTTGCGCAATCATTTTTAAAAGTGTTCCGGTAAACACTACAATAGGGTAGATGCGTAATTTTTATTTTAATGTCCGTCTGGTAGATTATTTTAAATCATTACACACGTATTTTTTATTATCTTACAGAAACGAATACTTTCGACAATATATTGATTTGAAATGTCGCGTGACGTCACTTCTATGTACATTTTATACGTAGAAATGACGTTTTAGCCCCCATTCCTAAACTTTGATTCGTTTTATCTATGTATAAATTTATTATACAACAAAATAAAAAATACATGTGTAATATTATTTCATTACCTAACTGATGGACTAATTAGATTTTTAGTTTTCATATCCTGTCATCATCCCTATTAGCTAAAGATATTTACCTTACAACACTTGAGTAGGCTCGCGTCAAGCTTCCTCATGCGAACCGCTAAGGAATGGAATTCCTTGCCAGAGGCTGTGTTTCCCGTCAAATATGACTTGGGTGTCTTCAAGTCCCGAGTGAACAGGTTGCTCATCGGTAGGCGTGCTCCGTCGTCATCGTCGGCCACATCATCACTTACCATCAGGCGAGATGGTGGTCAAACGTCGACCTAAAAAGTATAAAAAAAGAGTAGGCATTTTCTCCTATAAGTTACGAAAAGCATCTATTACTTTGTATACTACATGTAAATAAGCTGATTAGTACTAGGAACTCATATCGTTGGTAGAGTTACAACTGTTTTGTGTTACGTCTTCATTCGCGCTAAAGCATGTGTACATGACCTGCCTTAACGTATTTATACAGAGACTGCCAAGCGCCACAATCATTCTGCGTCGCTTCCTCTCATAATATGATGAGCACGTCTAAACGTATATATGCCATCCTGATACAGTCTGAGAATGCGACTTTCCTGAAGATTCCAGATAGACTTATTCTGAAGGCAGTAAATCTATAGATATGTGACAATTT